AGTGAAGCATAAGGCTGATGGAACTGTTGAAAGGTATAAGGCCAGATTTGTGGAAAAAGGTTTTACACAGGTATATGGAGTGGACTATGCAAAGACATTTGCTTTAGTAACCAAGATGAACTCTATTAGGATTCTTCTGTCATTGGCAGCAAATCTTGACTGGGAACTTCACCAATTAGACATTAAGAATGCTTTCTTAAATGGTGACTTAGAAGAGGAAGTGTACATGACTTAACCTCCAGTTTTTTGTGCCAAAGGTAGTGAGCAGAAGGTGTCTAAGTTAAAAAAATCTTTATATGGRTTGAAACAATCACCTCAGGCCTAATTTAGTAAGTTCCACTTAGCAGTTCACCAGATGGAGTTCAAACAATGTCAGTCAAACCACACTCTGTTTGTGAAGGTGAAGGAAAAATTGCAGTTTTAATTGTGCATGTGAATGACATAGTGATCATAGGAGACTAGAAGACTGAAATACAAAAACTGAAGAAACTCTTAACCACTCAATTTGAGGTAAAAGATCTAGGGCCCTTATGTTATTTCCTTCGAATTGGAAGTTGCCCACTCTCAAAAGGGCATCTTTATTTCCCGACAGAAATATGTACTAGATCTACTAGAAGATACAGGCAAGCTAGGGGTGAAACCAATTGACTCACCAATTGAACCTAACCATCAGTTGGGAGACAATCAGGGGGAGTTCTTGAAAGATGTGAAGTTTCAGACTTGTAGGGAAACTCTTATATTTGTCTATAACCAAGCCTAATAATGCTTGTGTAGTGGGTGTCCTTAGTCAGTTCATGCACAACCCTAGGACAACTCACTTTGAAGCTACAAAGAGGATCCTTAGATACCTCAAGAAGTTTCCAGGAACTGGTTTGTTATTCCAGAAACATGAACATTTAAAGRTGGAAGTATATACTGATGCTGATTGGGCAGGGGCAACCAATGACCTAAAGTCTACCAATGGGTATTGTACCTTTGTAGGAGGAAACTTGGTCACCTGTAGAAGTAAGAAGTAAAGTGTGGTGGCTAGATCCAGTGTTGAAGTAGAATACAGAGCCATGTCTCATGGAGTTGCTGAAATCATGTGGATAAGAAGCCTATTAGGTGAACTGGGCTTTGCAGTTAACAATCCTATGTCACTCTATTGCGACAATAAAGCTACTATCAACATTGCTGCTAATCCAGTCCTCCGTGATAGGACGAAACACATTGAAGTGGACAAGCATTTTATTAGAGAAAAACTCATAAGTGGAGAAATGTGCACTCCATATGTCAACTCAGAAGAACTTGCAGACATCTTCACCAAGGATCTTCATCATGTGCGGCATAATGATTTGTGTGACAAGTTGGGCATGATTGACATCTATGCCCCAACTTGAGGAGGAGTGTTGAAATAGTTTATTTTATTTCTTGTTTATTATTTTCTATCTTGTTAGAGTTCGTTTGGTAGGTTTAAAGTCATTTTTATTTGTTGTTATTGTACTTTATTTACAGCAGGAGCATAAGGGTCTTTTTCCCTTTTATTTTAGTCGCCCTATAAATATTAATTGAGTTTGGTGCCGCCAGAACAATTCAATTGTCGCCAATCTCTCTCCTTCTCTTCTACCTTCTCTCTTTTTCCTCTCTTCCCTTCTCTCTCTTATTTCAAGTCAATGTTACTGTCAAGAGGTTCCAACTACCACACTTTTATTCTAGTTAATCCTCAAATTGGAGGCCCTTTCAAATAAATCCACTACTAAATTCAAGGTTTCCACACTAACTCTACTCATTGCTTGATTTGGTACCTACATAGTTCCTTTTATTCTTTGTTCATTTGTTGTAAATTTGTAATGCTTCTTCTATTTGTTTAATTTATTATTGGTATTTTTTTTTGTTTTGTTAAAGGCAAAGTTATGAGAAAAAGGATTGCAACCAAGGAGGACAATACTCAACATTCACCTCAAAGGTATGAATTTATGATCTTAAAAAATACTTTTAGTATTTGAAAGTTTATTTTTTTAGTGTAGTTGGTTTTCACTCCTTATTGAAAATTATATATTTAAATGTTGAACATGAATACATGATAAATTGATAATATTTTATGTTTTAAGATTTTTATATGAAATGTATACTCATTTGAATGATTTGTAGTGTTAATAGTTAGTGTATGTGCTTTCCAGTTAGCATACAAAACCAATAATATAGTTTAGAAAAGTGTAGGAAAAGTAAAAAATTTAATAAAACTAATAGTTTCGAATTTCATCACCTAGGCACCCTATGGTCACCTAGCCTCTCTTAGTCACCTTGAAAACTACGAGTGGAACTAGAAGGAGCATTTAGAAGGCACATGATTTTATGATCTTGATCTATTCTAGACCTATTAGGGAAGGGAACTACTTTAGAATCCTTGCCTCCAAGAGCTTGAAAGAATAGAGGTCTAGGTGATTTTCAGGTGGTTGTAGGATGCAATTCTTTCCTTATAAGAGGATCCCCCTGTTAAGGGCCTGGGAATAGGATCTCGTCACGGGCCGGTCCACGGGGAAAACCTCCTGTTTTCCCTTGTTCCTCCCTTTTCTTGAAGAACCTATCTTGCCGCCCTGAAGGTGATTTGTTCAAGAGATCACCAACTCTCCCTTTGCTCTCTTTCTTGACTGAAATTTTCGATGATTTTATTCAATATTCTCAGCTCCTTAAATAGGAGATTACAAGAGATAAGAGTCCTACTTTTAGGAAGACTCCCTACTAATCTATCCTACTGAACTGATAAGATAAGATAAGATAAGACTCCCTTAATCTATCCTACTGATAAGATAAGATAAGACTCCCTACTAATCCATACTACTGAACTGATAAGATAAGAACACTGAATAGATAAGACTCCTACTAATCCCTACTACTGAAAGCAGATAAGGTAAGAATATTGAATAGATAAGAACACTAAATTGATGCTACTGAGAACACTAAATTACTGTTGTTGCTGCCGGCATCCACATCATTACTCCCATCCTAGACTACGAGCTTGTCATCAGGCTCGAATTCAGGATGGGTGTCTTGAAACACAGTCAAAGGAATCCCGGATAGGTGGAATAATTTTTCCCTCCTGGATCGGGTTCCAATGAAGAGGGTTCATTCTCAGGCAGCTGCAGTGAGATACCAAGATTTGACCATGCGTAGCTGCATTCTTTGTCGCGGGCAACTACAGCCTTAAGGTACTTCTGAGATGTCTTGAACTGTAGAGTACAAAGATTGTGAACGCCAGGCTGGTGCCACTGAACTGCATCATCTGGATCCTCTTCTATTGCCTGCTTTAGTGTGTACAGAGCTCGCTCTTCTTCTTCCGTCAAATCATTATGTCCAGTTTCAAATGTTGCTGCAATTTCGTGTTGAGCCTTATGAACCATGGCAAGTCCTGCCCATGCTATCTGAAGCTCAATTGTTGCAGAGTCCCCTTCTTTGAGAATTGAAGCCATTTCATTCACAGCCCATGAAAGTTGTTCAGTGGGATCTTGAGACCTTTCTGCATCCTTGATACAATGAAGCACAACAGCATATCGAGTTGACATGCAATTAGGCTCCAGTTTTGCTGCCTTCTCCAGGCACTTTCCAGCACTTCTATGATCACCAACCACATAGTATGCATTAGCAAGATTCACCCAGATATGTGCAGCCCTAGGATCTGATCTGATTGCAGCTAACAAACACTCTTTTGCAACCGCAACATGAGGCATACAAGCTCCTTCACCAGCGATGACGACCTTGGAGTAGTTGCTCTTATTCTTCTTTGAACTCTCGTGGATGGAATCCTCGACGGCACCGGATTCCTACTTAATCGGAACATTCCGAGTGTTGCTAACCTGCGCTAGGGCAATGACCTGCTGCTCGCTGAACGATTCTGCCATGTCTGGTCGGCGGTCGGTTGTGTTGCAGCCCCTTCCAGGTTCCTTTCCTTGCTGGAAAAGTACAACTCCATCAAGCGCCTTAATTCTCGAACGTCGTCCTTGATCTCGCGCACCTCCTTGCTTTTTTCCACGAGTTTGTGCTCCAGATCATGAACCCTAGACGTCAATTGCTCAAAGTCACCCATGACGCCTTGCTCTGATACCAAATTGTTAAGGGCCCGGGAATAGCCTTGTTCCTCCCTTTTCTTGAAGAACCAATCTTGCCGCCTTGAAGGTGATTTGTTCAAGAGATCACCAACTCTCCTTTGCTCTCTTTCTTGACTGAAAATTTCAATGATTTTATTCAATATTCTCAGCTCCTTAAATAGGAGATTACAAGAGATAAGAGTCCCACTTTTAGGAAGACTCCTTGCTAATTAGGAAGACTCCCTACTAATCTATCCTACTGAATTGATAAGATAAGATAAGATAAGATAAGATAAGACTCCCTTAATCTATCCATTAATAAGATAAGATAAGACTCCCTACTAATCCATACTACTGAACTGATAAGATAAGACTCCTACTAATCCCTACTACTGAAAGCAGACAAGGTAAGAATACTGAATAGATAAGATAGGATGAGAACACTAAATTGATGCTGCTGAGAACACTAAATTACTGCTGCTGCTGCCGGCGTCCACATCACCCCCAGCCACAGATGACAAAACCAAGATCCTTTTATTGAGAATGAACATCTAGTTTATTCTCAATAAACAATAGTGAATTATTTTGGGCTGAATTGTATTAGAGAATTTGAGATTCAGACTCACTAAGCTAGGGTTGAACTTGTGTAATTCTAATTCTATTCATCTAATGAAAGTTATTGTTTCCTATCAACAAATAAATAAATAACAGCTGATTTAGATAGTTCCAAGATAGACTAAATCACTAGTTGATAGCTTCATCAGGAAAGGAGTTAACTGAAGTGAGATTCTCTGCCTTTAGCCACATAGGGTGTAGAGATTGTATTTTTTATCCAGTTTTCTTATAATAAATGCTACTTTTGTGCCAATAAAAAAACTACATTCATATGCTCAAGAAAATGTGGTGCGATACAATTCACAATAGAAGGAGCATTACCTTCCACCAGGGTGCCCAACATAAACCACTAGGCTAATAAGTCCCCCCGGTCCCAGAATTCGACTTGCAGCCTGCAATGCTGGTAGGGTTGTTTCTGACACTGTAAGTATCGACTTATCACCTCCAGGAAGGTATCCCAAGTTGAATGCAACAAGCCTGAAAATATCCGAACCACTACAGGTTAATACAAAATACTCAGCTGTTATTTCTCCTTTTTGTTTCATAAAGAATATAAACTACTTACAGGGAGACGTAACATGTGACCACACAACTGATACTGAAAACAGTGTTAAGTAGCTCAAACTACTCTTGAGGTATTTATCTATTAAAAGTTATAGTGTTTAGTAGAAAGAGTGTATCTTTCTTCAAGAAAAAAAAAATGTAGAATTGGTCTATACTTGCATCAACACTATCCATTTCTTCAGTTGGGAAACCTTCCATCCAGATACTTAAAGAAATATCAGCTGAAGATCTCTACCATTCAGCTTGGAGATTTCATAACATAAGCTACAGTGCAGATGTAAAAATAGCTTTTCTGCATGCTGCACTTTAAGATTAATGTTTTAAAAAGCAGAGGCATGAGGGAGGTGAAGTGCTAGGATTTTTTGCTTTGTAAGACATAAGCCTCATAAGATACTCATTATTTCAAAAACAAATCATGAACTAAATTGAGAGTATGGGATCAGACACACAAAAGAGGGTAAAGAAGACAAAGAGGGTTACTTAAAAGAAGTAAAGAGATTCAGGCTGCAACAGTCCGTGATTGTTAGGCAATGTATATGCCCTCAGCTTCAACTGATGCATTATACATACTTTCGTTATGAATAAAAAACATTTATTTCATGTGTCATTGGGTTGTTTCACTAAATCCCCTTAATTCCCTTAGTTCATATCAGTATTATGTACGAGACCACATAGTTGTCATAATATAGACTTAAATTTTCACAACTAGTGAATACACTTGGGGAAGTCTATCCTGACAAGTATTATATGTGAGGGGAAGATTGTTGTGGAAATGTGTAAGAGCTGCCTTGGTGTGGACCATTTGGGAGGAAAGGAATGCAAGAATATTTTCAACCAAGGAAAGAAGTAGAGAGGCCATTATTGAGACCATCACTATCAGGGATGTTCAATGGGCAAAGTCATCGGAGCTGTTGGTTGATTTTCAGTAAGTGATATTATGAGAAATTGGAATTAAGTGGTTAGATCAGTTAGACATAAGTAGACTTGTTCATGGGTCGGGCCGGGCCGGGCTTTTACTGTGTATTAACAAATATTTTTAAGGCCCGAGCCCGAGCCCGGCCCGACCATCGGGCCTACAATTTGGGTCCGAGCCCGGCCCTCATAAAAAGCCCGAAGCCCGAGCCTGGGCCCGGGCCCGAAATTTAGCCTATATTATTATTATTATTAATGTTGAAGCAACTGAATAAAGAGAGAGATAGATTGAAATTATAAAGAAAAGAATAA